AATGGCAGAGATAAGAGGGAATCTAGGAATAATGACTGTCTATGGCAGTCAAGTAAGGAAAATTTTTAAAATTCAGAAAGGGGTCAAAATAGGTAAGTACTATAGAAATGCATTGGTAATGAGAACATATATTATAATAACGTCTTTATGTTGAACAATAGGATGATAGGATGAAGACTGAAGTTGATAGAGAAGTAGGTGAGAAAAAAATGAACAAAAAGCTGAATATACATAATGTATCCCAGAATTTTTACAAGGCGTTAGGCCAGACGTGATTTCCAATGGAATATGCTAGGGACTATTCTATTGGAGGTGATAGAAATGTGTCATCTCCAACATACATATTCCTATGTCTCTTCAGTACCAAAGAAGCAAATCAGTTTTTCCTAGTGCATTAAACTCTCTGTTTGTAGATTAGCTGTTCCCTATAACCATTCTAACATGTACAAGGCATTTCACCGAGAAGTGAAAATGTAGCAAACCAGCAAAGCATTTGGGCTGCACAACATCTGGCAATCAGTTTGAAAGACTTTTTTCACTGAGTTGATTAGTAGTTCTGGTATAACACAAATCCATCCTTTATTGCCCTTCAGTTTATAACGAAAGCAAAATCTGTTAGTGATAGTATGTTTTGGGGGCATGTGAGGCAACATGAGTTATAGACAAATGGGCTCTGTTTAAGTCCATGCTGGAAGTGGCTACGTTGACTATGTATGTTTATTCATGGGTGATAAGAAGATATTAAATGTAAATACTGCTGTATTATGTTATTTATTTAACATACTTACTTAATCTTTAGAAAGATTTTATGTCAGGAAATGCCCCCAGATACTAGGTAGCCCAGGATACATGCAACAATAAACAAAATGGGCAAAAATCTGTGCCCTAAATGGGCTTAAATTTTAATACAGAGAGGGGAAACTACAATAAACAAAAGTAAAATATATTGTATGTTAGGTGGCGAAGACCTCTGGGGAAAGAAAAGTTAAGCGGGGAAAGAATATTTAAGCAGGGAAAGGGTGCTAGAATTTTTATCTGGGTGATGGGGGGAAGGGAAGATAAAATATGGAATAGGATAGACCCACTAAGAAGGTAATATTTGACTAAAGTCCTAAAATTAGTGTGGGATTAAGCTATGGAGATGCTTGGAGAAAGAAAAAATCAAAACATTATGAAGGAATGAGTGTCTGGTATCTTCTAGAAAAAGAAGGATAAATATGGCTGGAGAGATAAATAAAGAAGAAAACAGTGAGAGATAATATAGATGTAAAGTGGAGAGAGACTCTAGACCATTGTAAGGTTTATAATAAGTGATTTTCAATAAGAAAAACAGATTCTAGAGTTCTAAGTAACATCTTAAAATACAACATATTATTTATCCATTAGTCTATGTTTCCTTTGAGGGTGGTGCTTCTACAAATCACCTTCCAGATCTTGGCACTGACATAGAATACCTTTCTTCTTAGAGACTAGAGACATTGACTATGCACTTTTCTGACAGTGAAGAGATAGTTTCAGGAGATATGCTGAAGGCAGTCTTTGTGCCATTCAAAAAGGCTGATAGTAAGAACAACATGGAAAGTTGAAAAAATGTTTCCAGAGCTCAAAGAGAAAGCAATGGATTGAATTCAGTTTCTGTATTTTCTTAGCAAAACATTTTCTAGGAAAAAGAAATCTTTCACATGAAAATTTTTACTATATCTCAAAATATTTACTCCTTGGTAATTAAAAAACTGCCCTATAAATAATACCTCCTCAAATGGAATATGCTTCTTTGGACAAAGAAAGGAGAAACGTTGAAGAATATAAGCTCTGTGGAGGATCTTCCACATAATAATAATAATAATTTCTTTTACCATCCATATTATTGTGGTGGCTTTTAATTGCCTTCTTGAATATTCCTGAGGGTCTTCTCAACTGGACTTTATATATTAAACTGGCTCTCAGAAAGATGGGTAAAAAGTATTTGACACCACTAACTTAATCAATGTTGGCCTCACCTATTGTAGAACCAGTATATAATTTTTTATAGTAAGCAGCCACAGATCTGGAAACCTGGGCTTTTATCATGACTATACTGTTAACTACCACTTTACCATTCTTGATCTTCCTTTCCTCACCTGTAAAATAGCAGTTGGATATACAATAACCACAACTTTCTTTTTAAGTGATCTATAAAAATCAGCTGCTATGGGTAGAGACAGATCCAGCTTCTCTAATAAGAACCATGCTTAGTAATCCTTTAGTGTTAATTTACCCAGAGATGCCACTTTCACAGCATTGTACCCACTCATTTTTCTCCCACAGCCATTACAAACAGACCACAGTACTTCTCCCTATTTGGAAGTCAGAGTCATAATCTTTTTTTTTTTTTCTGACAGTGTCTTAGGCAACCATAACCAAAATAATGGGAGATGGCACTCAAGTTGCAAGCAATTTGCTACTTATCATTAGGGGCATGGCTATATTGAAGGCAACCACTCAGTATAGCTAAGAACACTTACATCCCATCAACCTATTCCTCCCATCTCTAAAGCATTATAAGATGTCATGTGTTCCACCAGCATAAAGCAGTTGCTGATACCCCAGACATAACCAAAATGGATCAAGTAGCTTTTCAGTTAAAGAGGCCTGAATGTTTAGAAATCATTTCCCTTCTTTAGGAAGTCTGCTTCTGTTCTGAGAGAAAAGTCTTCCATAAAAGTAACAAACTCACATGTTCAACAAGTAGATATATTAGTGATTTCATCATCTTTGTCATCCTACTCACTTATTTTCTAAGTATCCAAACATATAGAAGCTTTGACCAAGAAGCTGTGTTTGTTTCAGTTCTGAAAAGCCCTAACAATGTTATTAGATTACTGTGATAAATTTTAATCTGATGACAGCTTGTGACCCACAAATTGCTGTTTAAAATTAAAATGCATTTAAAATGAAACTGGCAAGAGAACTACAATATTAAACTTGCAATCTGCTGTGATGAAACACCAGTATAAATCACTATATTAAATACAAATACAATTAATTTTATATAGCATCTTGCAATTGAAATATAAAATGCCCTTAAATGCATTGCCTCATTAAATTAAAATTGGTTGATTAATCTTACTTTTTAATCTTTGTTTTGCAAATTAAAAAGTTTAAGTAGAGATAGATTGGATTGGCTTTGGTAATACACCCTTTGGCAGAGCTCCAGGTATAATCTAGGGCTACAGGCTTCTAGGTTTCTCTTTCGATGAGCAAAAGTCCTCTATTTTCCTCATTCCAAATATTCATCTGCAGTAAATTAAGACATGCTTTTCACATGCTTAATTTTATTTATAATGCATAAGGTATAGTTACTCAAGTTGTATTAAATGTGATCTTTAAACTTTTTTATATGTTAGTTTTGAAAAACAACTACACTGATATTGTTGGCAGACCAGCTAATTATTGCTAACTTAGTAAGAATTGAGATTTTTCTGTAATGAATGTTTGTATCAGTTTATTATTCAGCAATACTGTAAATAAAACTCAACCCAATGTATGTGTTTTCATCCCACATTTTAGCATTGAAGAATTGTATGTGGTAATGAAATAATTAAGTACAGTTGTTTGCAAATAATTTAATAATCCAATCATAGCTATTTTTCTGGTTTTCAAAATGTACCAAAGAACTATTGAAAACTCCACAATATAATATCATAATTATAACAAGTAATGTGTGTGTTTAGTAATAGCTGTAATAATCTATGCACTATTTGCTCAAAATATTCATGATGCATTTAAATAATAGCATTAGCTAGAATAAGAAAGTACCATATCTCACTCCCACTAATGCACACAGAGAATAAAATTCACCCACTCTTTTTAAAAAGATGCCACAAGGATTGTAATTTCAGAACAATTATTTTTACTCATTACTTCTAGAACATAGTATACACTCAGCAAATGTTGGTTGAAGAAATGAATGGATATGTGTGATTGGATGAGATGCAAACTCAGGGAAAATGCCTAGTCTCTGGTTGTTACGGGACTACTGCATGGACAACTGCTGTCACAGTAGTGTTTCTAAAATCTCTCTGCCATATTTTATTTTGGTTCATGTGTGTGTGAGACAATGATAAGGAATTCAGCCCAGCAAGTCTCTCCGCATTACATAAAGGTGCTATGTATTCAAAAAGCAGGGACACCACATGTAATATCTCTCAGGTACTTTTCAAGGTTTGCTTCTACACGAGATTTGATATTGATTATGGTGCTTCAAATCTATTTATATTTGGGAGCAGTCTCACTGTTATTCTTGGTTACACCTCTTCAAATCTGTCCTAGGGACTGTGCCTACCCCAGGGTTGTAAGCTTTGGAACTGTGATCCGGTTTTCCCCCCGTTGCGTGCCAGCGGACGCTAGCCATGGTGCTGAAAGAGACAAGAGGATTCTATTTGAAACCTTTCCTTCCTCTTACTGGTTTAGAAAATTCGAGTGACAAGAGCAGGGGCCAAAGGAGCCTGGAGCAGCATCACTAATGTGAACCATGTATTTCGGTCTTTTGGGCGGAGATGTGGTCCATCAGGTTACATGCAATGCCTCCCTGTGAGCGTTCGCTAGACCAAGAGACCTTATGAATGTAGCCGCTGCAGTAGAAAAGGTTACATCCAGCAGGATGCCTAGTCCCTCTTCTGAAAAATTGACATTTAAGTGCATAGCCTAGAAACAAAAGCAGGGAGTCTAGACGGAGGGGAGGAGAAGCGGGGAGCAAACCTGTATTCATATTGAAAATGTTCACTATTTTCACATAAGGTAAAGAATCACATAAGGTAAAGGGCAAATTTTAGCTTAAGTTTTCGGCCTCAGTTTTCCAACAGGTGCACAACTCCCTCACCCCTTCCCTGTCAGGTACTGTCCTGCTTTAACCTTCTTAGAAAGGCTTCCTTTGCAAGGCAAGCTTTTCCTGGAGTCCTAAGCATGTGCAGTTTCCCATCTCATGCACAGCTCCGGCTCTATGCCTGGCAACCCCTTACCTGCAGCATGAAGATTAAGGAGCAGGCACAGCGCAGGGAAGCCGACTGCTCTCCGCATAGTGTGTGCATTGAGAGGTGGAGGAGAAACCCCACCACGACCCCACTTTAGGTAAAGTGCTATTAGAAAGAGACACCGCCAAGGGTCTTCTAGTCTCCGGGATTCATTCGCAGGTCCTCGGATGGGGTTTGCAGATCAGTCAGTCTGTGGCGCCGATAGAAACGAGCACCCGCTTCAACCTCCCTAAGAGAGGAAGAGAGGAAGAGGAAGTAGAGTAGGAGGTTTCGGGGAAAGGGGACAGAAGCATTCAGAGGCGGCAAATGCTTGGCCTTCCCGGGACCCAGCAGCCAAGGCGGAGACGGCAGGGTGGACTCCGCGCCAGCCCAGCAGCGCAGCAGCACGGCAGCCAGTGCAGCGTGAGCAGCAGCCCAGACGCGCTGCGGCTACTGAGCATGCCCAGCGCCGGCCCTCACTAGGCACGGGAGTTTCAAAGTGAAATTCCGCTTCTCCGGGTCTTAGCGGTGGCTTGGAGCAGAGTAGGCTCTACCTCTGGGGTGGGTGGTGGTGGTGGGAGGGGGTGGGGAAAGTGGGAAGTGCAGGGGAGGCGCTTGCCGTGGTTACTAGGGACCCAGAGTCCATCAAAAATCCGAGGGTGGTGTGTGGCAGAGTGAGAGTAAATGGGGGCATGGCCAGAGGAGGGAGTTGATGACAGTGTCAACCGTGCCACCCACCTTACTCTTTACCCAAGTCTTGATTACACGTGGACCTAGCTCACTGCCAGGAATTGGCACGTGCAGATTGACCAGCTTCCCAGGGCTCGCCTACGGGAATAGAGATGTCTTCCACCACTGCTGAGCTTTCTTGCTGCTTGGGGGAAGCGTTCCCAAGGCAGCGTGCTTGGTGTAAGCAGAAACCATGTATCTCGGGGGTGTCTTCGTCCTTCCTACAGCTTCCCCTTCTTCGCTTCTCTTTCCATTCTCTCCAGCTCAATCCCTGCATTTAAACTTTCTTCTGACTCAAGTCTAAAGTATATGATCACAGTGACAGAAAGAAGCGAGGCTGTATTTCTAGACTAGTAGAATGTATCCATGTAATTGAAGCAAAAGAAGGCACTTTTTAGTTTCATGGAACTAATTTTCTTGAGTTTCCCCCTTTAAGGTGAAAGATAATAGATCACTTCAGTGCCTGGGCTCCTTCTACCCAGCTCTGTGTCTCTAGGGAGGCTACCACAGTCTGTCCAATGTAGATGGTTTTTATCCCCACATCTAAGTCTTCGGAGTGTGGAGAGCCTTAGTCATGGCTAATTGCTGCTGGTCAAGAAGTCCCTCCCTAGACTTCTCTCTTTTAACTTCCCAGGGCCACTGCCCTTTCTGCCTCTGTGTCTTCATGGATGCTGTTGCCTCCTTCTTATTTTCCTTCACTTGCATCACAATCACACTTGAGTTTTACAAGGTTTAATGTTGGTGTCACTTTTCCAGAAAGCACTAACTCTAACTAACTCTAGATTACAGTGATCTTTCTCTTCCATAACACTTGTCTAGCAGTGCCTCATATTCTTCTTTCAGACAGTTCATTTATCTATGGTTTGTCTGACAGCACCTTGAAGACTCTAAGAACTGCTGCATTTTTATTCCATTAAATTGAATAAAGTTGTTCTAGCCAAATAATTGGGGCTAATAAGTGCTCATTGAGTTGAGCCTCATATCTCATTCAGTGCTTTCTTTCTCCATCCTCTGTGAATTGAGACAACTAATGGGAAATAGGCCATACACCAGAGCTTAAATTAGGTGGGATCTCATAAGATCAGAGAGCCCAAGTGGTACCATTTATTTCTTTTATAACTTATATCATTTTCAGCTCTGAGAGACGAGGCCAGGTGGGAGAAGGAGATAATGAGATACACTTTGAATACCTTGACAGGTCTTCTCTGCTGAACATAGAGACATTTGCAGTCCCTCTCTAGCAATGTGCTCCACCCCCCACTCCCCCATAGGTGTGGCACACTCCATTTCTGTGGCACTATCATTTCACCACAAACCACTCTAAGCTTCAACCTCTTCTCCTATTCCTGATTCACTGTCCTGCAGTTTACTTTGTCCATATCACTTTCTAACAAACCAGAATAATTACTTATAGAATCTATTGTTTATTATCTATTTCTCTACTCTCCCCCCAGAATGGAATCTGAGCTCCAATGATGGAGAACTTTGATGACTTTATTCACTGATGCATCTCAACTCCCTAGAGAAATGCCTCATGCAAAATAGATACTCAAAAATGAATAAATAAAAGCCAATTAATTGATAAATTTCAGTTGGTGATTAACTTAACTCTTTGAAATTCTTACTGAATCAACCTTTGAGATGCTTTATTTAGCAGTCTGTAAAGCTTAGAAGAGTAACTATTTTCATCTAATATCTAGTACTAGAACTGCTGTAGGGCTGGAGACTAGGGAAAAATAATTGTAGCCCATTTATTTTCTTATTTCCTAAAATTACTAATTATCAAACTTACATAGGTCTCCAAGAATAAAAGTTACCTACTATGGTAATGAAACAATGTTCTGAACCCCTTCCTTTTCCACAGATAATTCCAACATTTATTGGTGGGGCATTTAACATTTCTATTATTATAATCGACTGTGACTTTGCCAACAAGCAGCCTGCTAGCAATGTATTTTGCCCAGGGCTGCAGGTAGCTGAAGTATTAAACTATGCATGAAAATTCCTTTAGTAGCAAACTTTTTCCATTTCCAGTTTGGCTGGATATACCATTAGATAGTTCAGCATGGTAAAAATAACCTTGAGTGGGCTGTAATTTTGTGACTAGACATTTCTTATTAATTTACTTAAAATGATAAAGGAATAAAAAATGTCATATTTCTATGTGAGTCAATCCAATATCATACTTTTAATGGCTTCAATTCACTTTTTCACTAATTGTCCGTTCCTGAAGTCAAACAACGAGTGAATTAGCCAATTAGTGAAAAAGTCAACCACTTAGCTCATTCAGAAATATTCTCTGTGAGTCCATAGGTGCTGTTTTTTCCTTAGCTGTGATATAATGCTAGGGAAGGGGACTTGGCGTTTTGGAAACAAAAAGCTTGGTTAAAACCCTGCATCAGAGTTTTAAAAAGTTAGTTCTAATTCAAAGAAGCATGGAAATTACTATGAGAGAACCATGCAAATTAGTAGTGGCCTACAGAGCTATATCATAAAAGAATCATTTCTATTTTACAAGATAAATAAAAGATATACATGAACTTTTCCTCCACGAAGATGCATAATTTCTTTTTCTTTTTAAAATTTATTTATTTTATTTTAGGTGCATACTATATCTGGCATTTCTCCCCATGTTATCCCTCCCCTCCCTCCCTACCCCTCGCTGTCTCTCCCCTATCCCCCAACAACTGCCCCCAGTGTGTGATGCTCCTCTTCCTGAGTCCATGTGTTCTCGTTGTTCAACACCCACCTATGAGTGAGAACATATGGACTTTGGGTTTCTGTTCTTGTGTCAGTTTGCTGAGAATGATGTTTTCCAGATTCATCCAAGTCCCTACAAAAGACATGAACTCATAATTTTTTATGGCTGTGTAGTATTCCATGGTGTATATATACTATATTTTCTTTGTCCAATCTATCATTGATGGGCATTTGGATTGGTTCCAGGTCTTTGCTATTGTATACAGTGCTGCAATGAATGCATGTGTGCATATTAGGTGAGTGTTAAGGAAAATTTATGCAAGAAAGAAGCCTTTCAGAGCCTATCTTCAAAACAGATTTAATCATTATGAGCATCCATATTTACTTCTGTATAAATGGCTGAAAATTATTCATGTCAGCCATTTTTCCTTAAGACACTTTAAATTAAGAAGTTAGATCTATTTATTGTAAGAATTTTCTACTTATTTAGGTTATTATTATTTAAGTATAATTATGGCTAACTTGCCTGTGCTTCCTGTGTGCCAGGCCCTATTCTAACCATTTGGCTGTCCTATTGAAACATTATAATATTTAAATTATAATAAGAGGGTACTATAATGATCTAATTTAAGAGATGAGACAGTTGAGGCATGGGGAAATAACTTGCCCCAAATCAAGTAGTAAGTAATCAATGAAAAAGTAAATTGATGGAATTAAGATGTATGTTTGATAATTTGACATCAAACTACTATAATATATACTACTTCTTGTAATACACACACACACACACACACACACACACACACATTCAGTTGTAGGTGGCTCACTAGAATTAGATGATTAGATAGGGCTGGGAAGAAGATACCTGGACCCACAGTAAAACTCTGTGGTGAGGAATACTCATAGGAGATTGTCTGTAGGAAAATGAGAGACACTGCTTATGGCAGCGGACTCTGGATCCTAGCATCTTCTGAACAAAGATAGCAAATAAAGTCATGCTTAGAGGAACTGTGTTAGAAAGATGCTTAAAATAGAATGGAGAAGAATGGAAAAAATTATTTCTTCTACGGAGGATGGGACCAGAGGAGGGGATAGGTAGCAGGCAAGAAACTGGTAGACAGCAGGAAATGAACTGAGTCTGGCTGAATAAGTAGGTTCTAACTGTCCTACATAAAGAGAAACGCCATGGAATTGTGTGAGCCAGTGGCAGAGATATCAAACAGCAAAATGGATTCAAGGAACTTCTGAACACGTAAGGGAACAATAGGTAACAGTGATCAACATGTTATTAAAATTTGTTCTGTACTCGCCCTTTCCCATCCTTTATGCAGCCACTTTATCAATCCCAAAGTCTATTTCCTTTTGTCTGAGAGCTATCTTTTATAAGAGGAGAAAAGAAGAAAAATAATTTCTTTTTACAAAATAAATAATTAATGTGAATTAAGCTATATTCAGAGTGGAATGACTCAGGATGAAAGGAATGAATTGGAAATTCACAGATGAAAATATCATGTTCAGGTATATAAATTCACCATTATTATTTTTAGTATTTTCCCAACCATAACAAGAAGAACGATTTACCCTTCTGCATAAGCATACTGTGAAGAAAACAATGAAATAGCAACAGGCAATAAGAATAGAGGAGGAAAAGCATTAACATTTCAAAACTATATATTATCACGTTGAACTATCACAAGAGTTGTGTGAAGTATTATTTTCCTTTTGTAACAGAGGAGAAAACTGAAGTTCAATGAAGCTAGTAATTTGCCTATAGCCATCTAGCTGGTAAAGTCATGAAAATGGGATTAGAACTCAGGTATGGTGACCCCTAGCACTATGCTGTTATCAGCTGTATTGTACTACATTCCTGCTTAATGATAGAACTTATTTCAATACTTAAATGGAAATCAGTGTTCTTCTCCCAAGACAGACTTCGAGATGAATAACAACAATTACATTTTATAACTTAACACAGTTGCAGTTTTGTTGAATTTTTCTATTTAAAGCATTTGATAAACACACATACGCACACATACAAAGGGCTTTGTATCCTAAGGAAAAAAAATTAGGTACCTAAAACAGGCAGATACACTTTTCTGTGCATATGTGAATTATGCTGT